AAAACGACAGAACTCCGCGCGGAGATATGACGTTCCAAAACGACAGAACTCCGGCGGGAGATATGACGTTCCAAAACGACAGAACTCCCGCGGAGATATGACGTTCCAAAACGACAGAACTCCGGCGGGAGATATGACGTTCCAAAACGACAGAACTCCCGCGGAGATATGACGTTCCAAAACGACAGAACTCCCGCGGAGATATGACGTTCCAAAACGACAGAACTCCGCGCGGAGATATGACGTTCAAAAACGAAAGAACTCCGCGCGGAGATATGACGTTCCAAAACGACAGAACTCCGGCGGGAGATATGACGTTCCAAAACGACAGAACCCCCGCGGAGATATGACGTTCCAAAACGACAGAACTCCTCGCGGAGATATGACGTTCCAAAACGACAGAACTCCCGCGAAGATATGACGTTCCAAAACGACAGAACTCCGCGCGGAGATATGACGTTCCAAAACGACAGAACTCTGCGCGGAGATATGACGTTCCAAAACGACAGAGCTCCTCGCGGAGATATGACGTTCCAAAACGACAGAACTCCGCGCGGAGATATGACGTTCCAAAACGACAGAACTCTGCGCGGAGATATGACGTTCCAAAACGACAGAGCTCCTCGCGGAGATATGACGTTTCAAAACGACAGAACTCCCCGCGGAGATATGACGTTCTAAAACGACAGAACTCCGGCGGGAGATATGACGTTTCAAAACGACAGAACTCCCGCGGAGATATGACGTTCCAAAACGACAGAACTCCGCGCGGAGATATGACGTTCCAAATCGACAGAATTCCTCGCGGAGATATAACGTTCTAAAACGACAGAACTCCGGCGGGAGATATGACGTTTCAAAACGACAGAACTCCCGCGGAGATATGACGTTCCAAAACGACAGAACTCCGGCGGGAGATATGACGTTCCAAAACGACAGAACTCCCGCGGAGATATGACGTTCCAAAACGACAGAACTCCGCGCGGAGATATGACGTTCCAAAACGACAGAACTCCGCGCGGAGATATGACCTTCCAATTTTTTTAAAAATCGAGGTTGGTGCGAAAATCGAAATTTGTCGATTATTTCTTTTTTAATATCTCGGGTAATAGCTATGCGGAGATATGACGTTCCAAAACGACAGAACTCCGGCGGGAGATATGACGTTCCAAAACGACAGAACTCCCGCGAAGATATGACGTTCCAAAACGACAGAACATGTGAATTCAACCTTTTTGATGATTTTTTGGAATATTTCCGTCAAATAATGTCCGATTTTGCAATTTCATACCATTTGTGACTCGTAAGGATCGGTTCTAACGATTGGCATCAGAAAAAGGTAATCCAAAATTTTGACCCACGCTTTTTCTCAAAATAGAGGTCGGTGCGAAAATCGAAACTTTTTCGATGATTATACCATGAACCCATTAAAAATGGGTATAAGGGTATATTGTATTTGTGCAAAATCCAAATGTATGTAACAGGCAGAAGAAAGCATCTCCGACCCCATAAAGTAAATATATTCTTGATCAGCATCAATAGCCGAATCGATCTAGCCATGTCCGTCTGGCTCTCCGTCCGTCCGTATGTATGAACGCAAGGATCTCAGAACATATAAGAGATATAGACTTGAAATTTTAGATGCTCCTAGTGCCTGCGCAGATTAAGCTTGTTTCCGATAATCGATAACTTACTCCATTTCCAAGCAATTGATAAAAATCGATATCGATATGCTGTTTTTTGGGCAATTTTGGTAAATAATTAGAGCTAGAGTCCCCAAACTAGACATATAGCTTCTAAAATAGAATATATATATGCATTTGATGTTGGAAAAAGAGGGTTCAGGGGGAGCTCCCGTCTAGAACCCCTACCTTGCTTATTCTTAATTTTGTGGGTGAAAAATCGTGCAATTCAGTTGAAATGCCATTTTTACTTAACTATAAAGAAAACAACTATTATTAACTATTATGAAAACAATATAATTCATTTTAAAACTGCTTGCAAGTTATTTGTTATTTTAATCAATTTCATTTAATTTCAAAACATGCGTTATGATCAAAATCCGCAAGAGCCAAAAGAACATTATTTTCCGTCTTTCACTAACAATAGAAATATCTTTTAATTTACTTTATTTTTTACATTAATTGTTTTTTTAAATAGCTTTAATATTTAAATTTCAAATTCAGTCCAAGCCGAAAGACTAAAGCATTTAACAATTCATTTTAAATACTGAATTATAAACTTTACAAGATATGAAAGTAGTTTGATTTACTTTTACTTTAAAAACTGCTTACAAATTATTTATTATTTTTTATTTATTTTTTTTTGTAGAATTTTACAAAATCAAAAAATTTGTATCTTTCCATTATTCATTTATTCGAGTTTTGCATAGATTAAGGAAGTGTATTTAAATAAATTCTGACTAGGTCAAATCTTTGGCTTAGACGGATAAGTTTTAGATAACATTTCATTTGATTAAATTAGGCCAAGTTAAACAAAAACTGCGGCCAGTTCCATCTGGGTTGTCAGTTCCACATGAAATACTGAGTCGGAATTGAGCAGCTAGAGCATCCATGGGAAGAACTACATAGTATAAAGGCAGCTGATCCTTGAGCTCTTCCTCAGACATCAGAAGAGAGTTGCACGGCACATCCAAAGCATTTCCATTTCCAGGAACATCTATGGGATTTCTCGTTCATGGTGTATTGAAAATTTTTTATCTCTTTGTTCATACATTTGGTGGGTGAGGTTTTTTTTGGTTGGTAGCTTAAATACCAAAGCAGGGGATTTTTTTATTATGTATTTATTTTGGAACGTATGTTCAAGATGGGATAGAGCGAGAATTGCATCATAAAACCTCACCCGAAACTAGATGCTTCTCATAAGTCGTACGACATTAAGTTGGGAGACAAGGACAGAAAGAATGTCTAACAAATAAACATACATATACATTAACATGTATGGAATCTGTAAATGTTGAATATGTAACTCCACAATTTATATAAAAAAAAAGCTGAATCAATGAGCATTTAATATTGGAATGTTCTGACAATGTTCAACATATAGAAATTTATGTGCACATAAGTCATGGAAACAGTTGGTATACCAATTCTGATAGGGTACAAAATAAACATAAACAAAAAGGTATTTATTGGAATAAATATTTAAAGAGAATTAGTGTATCGTGTAATATAATATAAAAATGCAATGTGTGCTTGTCACATTAAAAATTGCCTTTTTGGTATATTATTTAATTTGTAGTCTTAAATAGTTATAAGATGCATGTAACTTATGGTTGACAAATACATAGTGGTAATTATTAAAAAAATAAAAATAAAGGGCAAAAGAAAAAGTAACTAATTTAGCAGAGAAATTTTCTACTATTTTAGTTCAGGAGAATTGTGCTTGTGTTTATTTATTTTTGTTGTCAAATCAAAAGTAACCAAATATCCGAAAAATAATGCCTGTTAGGAAATGTTTAAAACAAATAAAGAGGAGACATTTTAGATAAATGTAAATAAAAAATGGTAAGGATATTATCCAATTGGACAAGACGTTTTCTCGCAGCTTCCTAGAAGACTTTGTTCTGGAGAATCGCATCCTTGAATGTTGATTGAATAGTTTAATGCTGTGTGGAAAATATTTGAAATGTAAAAAAGAGCTGTGTGGAAAATATTTGAAATGTAAAGAGAAAAGAAAAAGAAAAGTGCAGCAGATAAAGTAAATCTTGAGTTTCCCATTCCGTTCTTCGACGTGAAGCTCCGTTCAGGCTCCTTTCAGTTATTAGAAAATATTATTAATAAATTGAAGAGGGATACTTTTTGCCCTTATAATAAATAGAATAGGTTCATTATCTTTTCAAGATTTATAAATATACAAAATGCTGAAAATGTTAAGCTCGCAGTTGATAATATTTTGTAGACGATTGTCTTTTTAATAAGGTCAGTTTATTCTTGTATTTTTATTTGGGATCTGTTTTTAGGTTGGGTAAAAAGATTAAAATAAATGGTTTTCAATATTCATACCAAGAAAGTTGCAATGTTTCCAAAATTCCCAAATATTATTTTCATTCCTTGCGATTCAAATTAATTATGATAAGTTACTTATTTAGTTTCAAGTATTTTAACCAACGTTGAATTTTCTGAGTGAAATTGTAAATTTAACAGATGTAAATTGTTAAAATAAACGAAGATAAGTTGGATTTAAATATAATTAATACATTCCTCCATTATTCTATTGTGGATTCCACAGCATGTTATAATATCATATTGTAAAGAAAGCTTGTGATATTTTATCCGAGGTCCCGATTTATTGAATTGCATTTAAAGCAAAGCTTAAATTTGAGCTGTTTTTATTATTTATATAATGTGTGCATTTGAAAATTCTAAATCATAAAATTCATTAAGAAATTATAGCTTAGTTTTTCATTAATAAAAAATTCACAAGGGGAAAAACAAATACATAGAGGAAAAAATACATGAGCAAAAAAAGTAAACTAAGAATTTACCATAGATACATATAAAATATATATATAATTTTAAGAAAGTGGTGTGTATAATATTTAAAAATGTTATACCAAATCAAAACAAAAATTTTTAATCTGTTTGAAAAAACATAAAAATTGAAATAAATGCTTTGAGGTGCAAACAAAAAGGAAAATGTTGCTCTTATGGGATAAGGCGTGCTGTCGCGGTTTTTTAAAAGATTTTGTTCTGGAGAATTTCATCTTTGATGTTGATTGAATGATTAATAATCAATTAATAATGCCCATGTGGTTATTTTCATAAAAGTTAAAAAGCTGTGAATAGAAGGCGCAGCAAATGCAGCCCAAGTTTCATGAGGTCCTTGAAGCTTTCAGTCAAGTTTTTAACGTCATTTCTTTTTAAATTATCTGAATTAGAATTAATTGAAATGGAAGGGAAATAGCTTTATAATCTTTTATAATACGGCAGCAATTGGTCAATTTTTTCATTTATGATTTCCAGTTTTATATACGTTTCTTTTTCATTCGATTATGTTAACTCTTCTGGTATTTTAATTATGGACTTTTATCTGCCTTTCAGTTTGACAGATATATATATATGTTACATAAAATAGATATAATTTTGAATATTTATACGTAGATCGTTTCCATTTTCCCAAAATTTTCATTTATAAATTCATTTGCGATTTCTCTTTTTCGTCTTACGATTCGAATCGTTTAAGCTATATTTCTGTGAGAATGTGAATTTAACAAATATTAATGGTTGAAATAAACGAAGATCATGATTAATAAATTAATATACATTTTATCGATGCCATTGTATGTGCAATATATCAAATTATTATGTTTATAGCTGTAATATTCGAAGCAAAGCCCATTTTGGTGAATTTCTGATTATGATTGCTTGCATAAATATTTCCCGATTCATTTAATTGCATTTGAAAGTGTTCTTGATGACGCTTGCATTCATTGCTCTCAATTCATTTAATTAAAATGTATATAAGATTCTTGATATCATCCCGGGGCATTTCAAGCAGGTGAGAAGAGACAACATTTAACAGGTGAGGAGTGAGGTTTATCAGTTTGATCCGTTGATAGATTATCGCTGAGAATGTTGTTGGAATGGGAATCAGATGTACAAAAGGATTACAGGATATATCCATACTCTATTGAAGAAGGCTCGACGATTTAACAGTTGCAAAAAGATGGGATTAAGACTTCATAGAATACATAAGAAAGGATAAGGATAGCAAAGTTTGGGGTATAAATAAAAGATGAATATAATTAGTTTTCAACAGGGAAATAAATATAAATTTGTAAGGGTATACAGATAGGTTATAATAATTGACAACACATTAAATATATAAACGAACTTTACTGCTGCAAATACTTGGTGTTAGCAAGCCGAAGAAACAGGTCTCAACTGGCAAACTATTATCTATACAATAATTAATTTAAATAAACATAAAATGTATTTTTGCAAAGAACAAGATTATTAACCAGACTCGAGGTGTACTTGTATTTCCATATAGTTTATACTTAGTATACAGTAGCATACAATAAGTGATTAATTGAAATGTTAAATATAGACCGAAAGTATGTTAGTTGAGCAACAAATGGGTTATATATAAATTGTGGAAATTGTGTGGCAAAGTTCCTTCACAAATGCAACATAAAATATGTTCTCTATAAATTGTTGCTAAACAGAAAGCCGAAAACTGAATGTATACATGAATTGATTCATTTTATTCAAACGAACAATGTGAATCGATCTATAGTGAATCGATAAATGTGTTAGCCATGCACATTCATATCAAATATAAATCATATTCTAAGTATTATATAGTGTCTGATGTTAACATACATTATTGTTGATCAAAGTTTTTACATTCAGTGATATATGATATATATAATCCTATTTGTACATAATTTTGTCATCATATAGTGTTCGTTTAGTTGGTTGCATTTCAAAAACATGTCTTAATTATTGTCTTTTTGAAATTAGGTTTGTCAAGTTATTTTTTTTTTTTATTAATTTGTTGTATAATAAGCGCAATAATCAAGATATAAGTTGATCGTGCGTGTTCTTCAGGAACTAAAGTCGACGAAATTAAAATAATTTGTATATCCAAAAATGTTGTAAGATTTAGGGAGTTCATTTCTTTTCGAACAAAATATTTCTCGTTTTTCACAAGGTTAATGCCAATGGGGAATTTTCTATGTAAGCCAACCTTCTCATATTCAACGTGGTATATTTTGTGTATTAGGGAAGTTCCCAATTGGGAAATTTCGATGTTTTCACATTTATCTTTACCATACAGACTATTATTTTCAAAACATATCTGGCATGTTTAATATTGTAATATTCGTATGAAATGAAGTTTGTCATCTGAATATTTCGTGTTACTTGGAGGCTAGTTAGTATCGAAAACATTTTCGGAGTATATGAGAAAGGGGCCATACATGTGGACTCCGAATTTATTGAGTATTCTAATTGTGATTTGTGTTTCGATAAACCAGGGTTAAGATGTCTGAGGCATAATGTGGTGGTAAGAGATGTGGTTTCATATCCTTGAAAGTTAATTGTTGGACGTTGGAAAAATATTTTCGTTTTGTTGTAGATCGAACTTAAAATATAGTGTCGGCTGTGTTGATTTGCTTGTAGATGGAGGAGCAGATGCAGTAGAAGATATTGAGTTGCTTGTGGATGGAGCAGTTGGGAAAGTAGACGATATTGAGATGCTTGTAGATGGAGAAGTTTAGTAGCAGCAGACGAATCTTGTGGATGTATACTTGGTTGGCACATTAATATTTCAGTTTTTGCTTGAATTGCATTGAGTGCATTGAGGTAAATTTATGCTTGGGCTGAAGAAGTTTCCATTGTTTCAGATGGTGCAATTTGAGACGAGTTTGAAAATGTACTAATTCTTTGATGGAAATTTCCAGGTTGAAATGTAAACAGATAATCGGATGGGATGTTCCATTTTATGCTGTACGATTGACCATTAAAGGGTATTTTTTTGTCATTGAAGGTAAAGGTGAAGTTCGCGTGCGTATAAATCGTAGACAAAAAAAATCTGTGTATTTTGTTGATTAGAAGTCTTAAATGTTGTGTCAATTGTCGCTTTTGTTTGATATTTGAAGAGGACTTTCGATTTAACTTTGTGCGTCTAAGTAGTAAAACATCGACAATGCAAAATTAAAATTGAAGACGGGAAGTTCATAATAAATTGCCAAGTTGAATAAATTGTCGATCATTCTATCTTGTGTGGGTAATTTATTTTACAGAAAAATTGCGCTGTAATGTCGTGTATATTTTAATATTTAACCATTTTCGGAGTTTAATGCATGTTCATTCTTTGTAATCGCAGTTTGTGTATGTTCTACCTATTAGGAAAATTTCCATGTTTTCACACTCTCAATCGAACACTCCACTTTCTTCAAATTCATCGCAGCTTTGTGTGTTTTTACGCTCTTGTATGATTTAAGTTTGGGTTGTAATCGGGTTTTGTTTATGTCCTACCTAATGGAGAAATATCTATGTTTTCACACTCTTAACCGAATACTCCATTCTCTCAAATTCATCGCAGTTTGTGTATGTCCTACCTAAAAAGGAAATTTCTATGTCTTCACACTCTTAACCAAACACTCCACTTTCTTAAATTCATCGCAGTTTTCGTGTGTTTTTAAGCTCTTGTATGTTTAAATTTGGGTTGTAATCGGGGTTTGTTTATGTCCTACCTAATAGAGAAATATCTATGTCTTCACACTCTTAACCGAATACTCCATTCTCTCAAATTCATCGCAGTTTGTGTATGTCCTACCTAAAAAGGAAATTTCTATGTCTTCACACTCTTAACCAAACACTCCACTTTCTTAAATTCATCGCAGTTTTCGTGTCTTTTTACGCTCTTGTATGTTTTAAATTTGGGTTGTAATCGCAATTTGTGTATGTCCTACCTAAAAAGGAAATTTCTATGTCTTCACACACTTAACCAAACACTCCACTTTCTTAAATTCATCGCAGTTTGTGTATGTCCTACCTAATGGAGAAATATCTATGTTTTCACACTCTTAACCAAACACTCCATTCTCTCAAATTCATCGCAGTTTTCGTGTATGTTTTTACGCTCTTGTATGTTTTAAATTTGGGTTGTAATCGGGGTTTGTTTATGTCCTACCTATTTGGGAAATTTCTATGTTTTCACACTCTTAATCGAACACTCCACTTTCTTCAAATGCATCGCAGCTTTAGTGTGTTTTTACGCTCTTGTATGTTTTAAATTTGGGTTGTAATCGCAGTTTGTGTATGTCCTACCTATTAGGGAAATTTCTATGTCTTCACACTCTTAACCAAACACTCCACTTTCTTCAAATTCATCGCAGTTTTCGTGTGTTTTTACGCTCTTGTATGTTTTAAATTTGGGTTGTAATCGGGGTTTGTGTATGACCTACCTATTAGGGAAATTTCTGTCTTCACACTCTTAACCAAACACTCCATTCTCTCAAATTCATCGCAGTTTGTGTATGACCTACCTATTAGGGAAATTTCTATGTTTTCACACTCTTAACCAAACACTCCACTTTCTTAAATTCATCGCAGTTTGTGTATGTCCTACCTATTAGGGAAATTTCTATGTCTTCACACTCTTAACCAAACACTCTATTCTCTCAAATTCATCGCAGTTTTCGTTTACGTTTTAACGCTCTTGTATGTTTTAAATTTGGGTTGTAATCGGGGTTTGTTTATGTCCTACCTAATGGAGAAATATCTTTGTTTTCACACTCTTAACCGAATACTCCATTCTCTCAAATTCATCGCAGTTTGTGTATGTCCTACCTAAAAAGGAAATTTCTATGTCTTCACACTCTTAACCAAACACTCCACTTTCTTCAAATTCATCGCAGGTTTCGTGTCTTTTTACGCTCTTGTATGTTTTAAATTTGGGTTGTAATCGGGGTTTGTTTATGTCCTACCTAATGGAGAAATTTCTATGTTTTCACACTCTTAACCAAACACTCCACTTTCTTAAATTCATCGCAGTTTTCGTGTGTTTTTACGCTCTTGTATGTTTTAAATTTGGGGTTTGTTTATGTCCTACCTAAAAAGGAAATTTCTATGTTTTCACACTCTTAACCAAACACTCCACTTTCTTAAATTCATCGCAGTTTGTGTATGTCCTACCTATTAGGGAAATTTCTATGTCTTCACACTCTTAACCAAACACTCCACTTTCTTCAAATTCATCGCAGTTTTCGTGTACGTTTTAACGCTCTTGTATGTTTTAAATTTGGGTTGTAATCGGGATTTGTTTATGTCCTACCTAATGGAGAAATACCTATGTTTTCACACTCCATTCTCTCAAATTCATCGCAGTTTTCGTGTTCGTTTTAACGCTCTTGTACGTTTTAAATTTGGGTTGTAATCGGGGTTTGTGTATGACCTACGTAATAGAGAAATATCTATGTTTTCACACTCTTAACCAAACACTCCATTCTCTCAAATTCATCGCAGTTTTCGTGTATGTTTTTACGCTCTTGTATGTTTTAAATTTGGGTTGTAATCGGGGTTTGTTTATGTCCTACCTATTTGGGAAATTTCTATGTTTTCACACTCTTAATCGAACACTCCACTTTCTTCAAATGCATCGCAGCTTTAGTGTGTTTTTACGCTCTTGTATGTTTTAAATTTGGGTTGTAATCGCAGTTTGTGTATGTCCTACCTATTAGGGAAATTTCTATGTCTTCACACTCTTAACCAAACACTCCACTTTCTTCAAATTCATCGCAGTTTTCGTGTGTTTTTACGCTCTTGTATGTTTTAAATTTGGGTTGTAATCGGGGTTTGTGTATGACCTACCTATTAGGGAAATTTCTATGTTTTCACACTCTTAACCAAACACTCCACTTTCTTAAATTCATCGCAGTTTGCGTATGTCCTACCTATTGGGGAAATTTCTATGTCTTCACACTCTTAACCAAACACTCCATTCTCTCAAATTCATCGCAGTTTGTGTATGTCTTACCTAAAAAGGAAATTTCTATGTCCTCACACTCTTAACCGAATACTCCATTCTCTCAAATTCATCGCAGTTTTCGTGTACGTTTTAACGCTCTTGTATGTTTTAAATTTGGGTTGTAATCGGGGTTTGTTTATGTCCTACCTATTTGGGAAATTTCTATGTTTTCACACTCTTAATAGAACATTCCACTTTCTTCAAATTCATAGCAGTTTTCGTGTGTTTTTACGCTCTTGTAGGTTTTAAATTTGAGTTGTAATCGGGGTTTGTTTATGTCCTACCTAATAGAGAAATATCTATGTCTTCACACTCTTAACCAAACCCTCTACTTTCTTAAATTCATCGCAGTTTTCGTGTACGTTTTAACGCTCTTGTATGTTTTAAATTTGGGTTGTAATCGGGATTTGTTTATGTCCTACCTAATGGAGAAATACCTATGTTTTCACACTCCATTCTCTCAAATTCATCGCAGTTTTCGTGTACGTTTTAACGCTCTTGTACGTTTTAAATTTGGGTTGTAATCGGGGTTTGTGTATGACCTACGTAATAGAGAAATATCTATGTTTTCACACTCTTAACCAAACACTCCATTCTCTCAAATTCATCGCAGTTTTCGTGTACGTTTTAACGCTCTTGTATGTTTTAAATTTGGGTTGTAATCGGGGTTTGTGTATGACCTACCTATTAGGGAAATTTCTATGTCTTCACACTCTTAATCGAACATTCCACTTTCTTCAAATTCATAGCAGTTTTCGTGTGTTTTTACGCTCTTGTAGGTTTTAAATTTGGGTTGTAATCGGGGTTTGTTTATGTCCTACCTAATAGAGAAATATCTATGTCTTCACACTCTTAACCAAACACTCCACTTTCTTAAATTCATCGCAGTTTGTGTATGTCCTACCTATTAGGGAAATTTCTATGTCTTCACACTCTTAACCAAACACTCCACTTTCTTCAAATTCATCGCAGTTTTCGTGTGTTTTTACGCTCTTGTTTGTTTTAAATTTGGGTTGTAATCGGGGTTTGTTTATGTCCTACCTAATGGAGAAATTTCTATGTTTTCACACTCTTAACCAAACACTCCACTTTCTTAAATTCATCGCAGTTTTCGTGTGTTTTAACGCTCTTGTATGTTTTAAATTTGGGTGTAATCGGGGTTTGTTTATGTCCTACCTAATAGAGAAATATCTATGTTTTCACACTCTTAACCGAATACTCCATTCTCTCAAATTCATCGCAGTTTTCGTGTACGTTTTAACGCTCTTGTATGTTTTAAATTTGGGTTGTAATCGGGGTTTGTTTATGTCCTACCTAATGGAGAAATACCTATGTTTTCACACTCCATTCTCTCAAATTCATCGCAGTTTGTGTATGTCCTACCTATTAGGGAAATTTCTATGTCTTCACACTCTTAACCAAACACTCCACTTTCTTAAATTCATCGCAGTTTGTGTATGTCCTACCTATTAGGGAAATTTCTATGTCTTCACACTCTTAACCAAACACTCCACTTTCTTCAAATTCATCGCAGTTTTCGTGTGTTTTTACGCTCTTGTATGTTTTAAATTTGGGTTGTAATCGGGGTTTGTTTATGTCCTACCTAATGGAGAAATACCTATGTTTTCACACTCCATTCTCTCAAATTCATCGCAGTTTGTGTATGTCCTACCTATTAGGGAAATTTCTATGTCTTCACACTCTTAACCAAACACTCCACTTTCTTCAAATTCATCGCAGTTTTCGTGTGTTTTTACGCTCTTGTATGTTTTAAATTTGGGTTGTAATCGGGGTTTGTTTATGTCCTACCTATTTGGGAAATTTCTATGTCTTCACACTCTTAACCAAACACTCCACTTTCTTCAAATTCATCGCAGTTTGTGTATGTCCTACCTATTAGGGAAATTTCTATGTCTTCACACTCTTAACCAAACACTCCACTTTCTTAAATTCATCGCAGTTTGTGTATGTCCTACCTATTAGGGAAATTTCTATGTCTTCACACTCTTAACCAAACACTCCATTCTCTCAAATTCATCGCAGTTTGTGTATGTCCTACCTAAAAAGGAAATTTTTATGTCCTCACACTCTTAACCGAATACTCCATTCTCTCAAATTCATCGCAGTTTGTGTATGTCCTACCTATTAGGGAAATTTATATGTTTTCACACTCTTAACCAAACACTCCACTTTCTTCAAATTCATAGCAGTTTTCGTGTGTTTTTACGCTCTTGTAGGTTTTAAATTTGGGTTGTAATCGGGGTTTGTGTATGACCTACCTATTAGGGAAATTTCTATGTTTTCACACTCTTAATCGAACACTCCACTTTCTTCAAATGCATCGCAGCTTTAGTGTGTTTTTACGCTCTTGTATGTTTTAAATTTGGGTTGTAATCGCAGTTTGTGTATGTCCTACCTATTAGGGAAATTTCTATGTCTTCACACTCTTAACCAAACACTCCATTCTCTCAAATTCATCGCAGTTTGTGTATGTCCTACCTAAAAAGGAAATTTCTATGTCCTCACACTCTTAACCGAATACTCCATTCTCTCAAATTCATCGCAGTTTGTGTATGTCCTACCTATTAGGGAAATTTATATGTTTTCACACTCTTAACCAAACACTCCACTTTCTTCAAATTCATAGCAGTTTTCGTGTGTTTTTACGCTCTTGTAGGTTTTAAATTTGGGTTGTAATCGGGGTTTGTGTATGACCTACCTATTAGGGAAATTTCTATGTCTTCACACTCTTAACCAAACACTCCATTCTCTTAAATTAACGCTCTTGTATGTTTTAAATTTGGGTTGTAATCGGGGTTTGTGTATGACCTACCTATTAGGGAAATTTCTGTCTTCACACTCTTAACCAAACACTCCATTCTCTCAAATTCATCGCAGTTTTCGTGTACGTTTTAACGCTCTTGTATGTTTTAAATTTGGGTTGTAATCGGGGTTTGTGTATGACCTACCTATTAGGGAAATTTCTATGTTTTCACACTCTTAACCAAACACTCCACTTTCTTCAAATTCTTCGCAGTTTGTGTATGTCCTACCTATTAGGGAAATTTCTATGTCTTCACACTCTTAACCAAACACTCCACTTTCATAAATTCATCGCAGTTTTCGTGTGTTTTTACGCTCTTGTATGTTTTAAATTTGGGTTGTAATCGGGGTTTGTTTATGTCCTACCTAAAAAGGAAATTTCTATGTTTTCACACTCTTAACCAAACACTCCACTTTCTTAAATTCATCGCAGTTTGTGTATGTCCTACCTATTAGGGAAATTTCTATGTCTTCACACTCTTAACCAAACACTCCACTTTCATAAATTCATCGCAGTTTTCGTGTGTTTTTACGCTCTTGTATGTTTTAAATTTGGGTTGTAATCGGGGTTTGTTTATGTCCTACCTAAAAAGGAAATTTTTATGTCCTCACACTCTTAACCGAATACTCCATTCTCTCAAATTCATCGCAGTTTGTGTATGTCCTACCTATTAGGGAAATTTCTATGTTTTCACACTCTTAACTAAACATTCCACTTTCTTAAATTCATCGCAGTTTTCGTGTGTTTTTACGCTCTTGTATGTTTTAAATTTGGGTTGTAATCGGGGTTTGTGTATGACCTACCTATTAGGGAAATTTCTATGTTTTCACACTCTTAACCATACACTCCACTTTCTTAAATTCTTCGCAGTTTTCGTGTGTTTTTACGCTCTTTTTGTAATCGCAGGGAAATTTCTGTTTTCACTTTTTCGTATGCTTAATAATTTATAATTTGTATTGGACGCAGTTTTATAAGGATGTTTAAGACAACGTGGTGTCAGTAGAACGTTTCGTAATGTGTTTGACAAATTTAATTTAATATTTGGTTGTAATCACGGCTCAGATATATATAAATAGTAAAAATTTGTCGAACGACAAAGAACGTTGAAAAAATATTTTGAAATTGTTGAAAATCGAACTTAAAATAGTGTCTGATAAATTTTAAAGGTGTCAGCTGTGTTGAGTTGCTTGTAGATGGAGGAGCAGTTGAGGAAGTAAAAGATTGAGTTGCTTGTAGATGGAGCAGTTGGGGAAGTAGACGATATTGAGATGCTTGTAGATGGAGAAGTTGAGAAGCAGACGAATTTTGTGGATGTATACTTGGTTGGCACATTAATATTTGAGAAGTATTTGCTTGAATTGAATGTGGTGCATTGAGGTAGATTTATGCCTGGGCTGACGAAGTTTCCATTGTTTCAGATGGTGCAATTTGAGACGAGTTTGAAAATGTACTAATTCTTTGATGGAAATTTCCAGGTTGAAATGTAAACAGATAATCGGATGGGATGTTCCATTTTATGCTGGACAATTCTGACCATTAAAGGATACTTTTGTCATTGAAGTTAACTTCCGATGTTGATAAGTTGTGGAAGAAAAATTGCTTTTGGGGATTGGAAGTGTTTAATCCTTGTTGTTTAGTTTCCGCTTGGTATTTGAAGTAAATTTTATGTGTTCAGGCTGTGTTTGATATTTAGTTAAGATAGTTTGATAGTAAAGACAACTAAAAAAAAAAAATTAAAGACAAATTGAAGACACTTAACTTAAATTCTTAAGTAAATCAGAAAAGTGGAATAAATTGTAGAATATTGTGTAATGTTGGGTCTGTAAAATTGTATTAATACGGCCATTGATGAAGTGTCTCAAATTTGAATATTTAACCGTTTTTGCAGTTTACCGCATATTTTAGCATTTACCAAAGCCCTGCTTAATTTATAATTTTCAAATTCGCATATATTTCCCTTATATGATCGCAAGCAATGCGTATAGAGAAAAATTTTAACATATTTATAGGGAATGTCTCTTTTATATATATATATATATATATATGTTGTCGATGTTTACCTTAACTTCAAACCTTAGAAATTTCATAGACTTTTATACGCATAATTTTCGTGTAAATAAACCTGTATGGGATATTTAGAGTGGCCCTTCCTCCATTTGTACGATGATAAGACTGAAATTTGTGTAGAATTTTAGCTTAAAATAAAAATATGGCGAACAATTGTTTCGAAATTTATTGGTCTTCTTAGATTTCTTTTATTCTTTTTTGTTTGTAGCTTCTTTTCTGTATTGATGAGCTCATTCTTTTTTTCTTATATTCTTCATTCATTATCTATAACTGGTATGGACAAGTATATTTACAACAATAAATGGACAAATTTTCTTAAATCTTGGGTTGTGTACAAAAACAGAATATTTTCTTTGTTTTTTTTCTTTTTGTTTAACAGTTTCAGGTATTTAAGAACTTAAGTCGCACATGTCGTGTACTAGCAAATGTTTATGTTTACAACAAAAAAATAAGTAAATAACAAGAATATAGTTTGTAAATTGTGCTGCATAAAACGAACTAACGATTGGCTCGTTCAGTTGCTACTCCAGATACGAGATATATATCTTTATCGATCGATGTCAGTAGTGTTTATATCTGTTTGGATCGGTATTGATAACGGTTCGATGATGTTAGGTAAATAATAGAAGGCCGTATATAAACGTATAGGTAATTGTGCGCCTTTGTTTTGAACAAGTCTTAGTAGAGCAGAGAAGTCGATACAGGTTCCTATAAATTCAATCCACGCAATCAATCTGATAAAAACGATGTTTAGTACCCCTGTGTGTAGGTAGCGACACACACAGGTCGCTGAGTTCAGATATACTCTCGCCACACGGCTAACGGGGCCACACCAACGGCATATTTCAGCTGTTGTAATGCCCTTTCGCACGCATTGCATTCGAGTTATAACATCTATCGATCGCGTATCAACTTTCAACGCCCAACTATAAAGTTTAGAGAAAGAAATACATATTGCTTGGTTAACGTGTAAAACAATTATCAAAATGGCAGTTAATTAATAAAGATTAACAACTAGATTTTTAAAGGGCTAAAGAACTTAATTTAGTACGTAAATTGCCAATAAAAGCGACCGTTCCAGAGATACTTGTGTAAGAGATGGTAACACACTTATACGTATACGTACAGAAGAGGTGGAGAGTCAAATCAATACAACAAAGGCGGGTCCAATAACTCACCACGGGGTGGGTTGATTGCGCAGCTGCTGGGCCACGCAAAGGCATCTGTACGTAAGTGTGCAAGCGAGATAGAATGTGTATACGAGTCGTATATATACATGCAATGCATACAATGCGCATTATTTTTAGAGCAGGCCAACCGCTCTTCTTTGGGCGTTTTACACATAGAACAGTCGAGGTGGTTCATGTATGACAGAAAATAAGATGACTCATGGCCCTGCATGGGGTGGATTTTGTGCTAGATGCGACGAAAAAACGATATTACGCAATACAGAAATTGCAAATATGAATATTACACAATATTTGCAAATTTGTTCATTTCGAAGAGAAATTTGTACAAACGTTTACTTAGAAAAGCAAGAAAAAAAACACGCTGACGTCACACGTTGGAAAACGTTTTAGAAATTGAAAAATTGACTGGCAATAAAAACTACGCCTTAAGCTTAGAGTTTTTGCTTACGTATAACAAGAGAACAAGCTGTCTTCGCTGCGTTTTATACCTGGCTTCCTATCCAAACTCCTCAAGTCCAGGACAACACACACACTCCGCACACTCCGGCTAGCAATTCAAACGCCTGGCATCTGCCTCAGCCTGCCTACAGTGCAACTTTCTAGCCAAAGATGAAAAACTTGGTTGGGTTTTCGCACCGCCAAGTCTGGTTTTGTGTGGCCCCATTTCGCCGTTATGTGAAAATGCCTGACGTGCCCACGCTGAGATGACGACGAGGAGCTGATTTCATTTTCTTTGTTCAGAGCAGAAATGCTTGAGAAACCCGTACTAGCAATTATTTCAGCCTTCGTGCCATGTTATAGCTCCTCAGGTTTGCCTTTCCAACTGTTTCTGCACACATTTGCATTGCCGTTGAACAATATATATACATGGTATGTGTGTGTAACAACTAATGTGAAAATTTAGCACTTTATATTAGAAACAACTTTTCTTCAATTAATTTCAGTTTCACGACAGAACTTCACTTGAGCACTTATTTTTTCCGAATGACTGAAATGCCTGCTGCGAGCTGTATTTATACCCAGCGGCAGCTGCCTTCTCGACGCTTCGAAAAATCGATTTGTCTCCCTTGTGTGCGACAAATGTATTACGAAGGTGCGAGTGAATACACTGCTGTGTTCGCTGCCTACGTGCCTCACTGCTTTGTATACTCTGCCCACTGACACAGTTCCTTTGTTATAGAAATAAGTATTTTTCCAGGAGAATTGACATGTGTAATTCCCTTTGTTAAAGTGGGTTATGATCGGCAAGAATTGTCCCTTTTCAAGGTGTGACACTTATACATATATTTAACTAATCAGTCCTTCAATTTAGGTACCCTTAACAAAGCATAAGCAGTCAGTAGAGTATTTGAAATTGGGCGTGCTAAAAAAAAAAGTTTTTTTTTTTTTCGATTTATAAATATTGTTGCCAGACTGCAATTGTTCGAGCGAGATAGCTAAGACGCGCTGAGCTAACGCACAGGCTTGCCAGACTTTTGTTGCTGGAAATTTCTATAAAATTCGGGCGCGTCGTTTGAATGTTTGTTTTACTTCTGTTATACTATTATACTTACATATATTAATTGCTGTATCAAAAAAATAAAATATATTATGTGCGCAACTAGAGTTGAAGAGTTTTTTGAATAGTTTTAAAAAGATAAAAAAAGACCATCCTCAGAATTTGTCGAACACCGCGCGGAGATATGACGTTCCAAAACGGCAGAACTCCACGCGGAGACATGACGTTCCAAAACGGCAGAACTCCGCGCGGAGAATTGCCGTTCCAAAACGACAGAACTCCGCGCGGAGATATGACGTTCCAAAACGACAGAACTCCGCGCGGAGATATGACGTTCAAAAACGACAGAACTTCGCGCGGAGATATGACGTTCCAAAACGACAGAACTCTGCGCGGAGATATGACGTTCCAAAACGACAGAGCTCCACGCGGAGAATTGACGTTCCAAAACGACAGAACTCCGCGCTGAGATATGACGATCCAAAACGACAGAACTCCGCGCGGAGATATGACGTTCCAAAACGACAGAGCTCCGCGCGGAGATATGACGTTCCAAAACGACAGAGCTCCGCGCGGAGATATGACGTTCCAAAACGACAGAGCTCCGCGCGGAGAATTGACGTTCCAAAACGACAGAACTCCGCGCGGAGATATGACGTTCAAAAACGACAGAACTCCGCGCGGAGATATGACGTTCCAAAACGACAGAACACCCAGCGGAGATATGACGTTCCAAAACGACAGAACTCCGCGCGGAGATATGACGTTCCAAAACGACACAACTCCGCGCGGAGATATGACGTTCCAAAACGACAGAGCTCCGCGCGGAGATATGACGTTCCAAAACGACAGAACTCCGCGCGGAGATATGACGTTCCAAAACGACAGAACTCCGCGCAGAGATATGACGTTCCAAAACGGCAGAACTCCGCACGGAGATATGACGTTCCAAAACGACAGAACTCCACGCGGAGAATTGACGTTCCAAAACGGCTGAACTCCGCGCGGAGATATGACGTTCCAAAACGACAGAACTCCGCGCGGAGAATTGACGTTCCAAAACGACAGAACTCCGCGCGGAGATATGACGTTCCAAAACGACAGAACTCCGCGCGGAGAATTGACGTTCCAAAACGACAGAACTCCGCGCGGAGATATGACGTTCCAAAACGACAGAACTCCACGCGGAGAATTGACGTTCCAAAACGGCAGAACTCCGCGCGGAGATATGACGTTCCAAAACGACAGAACTCCGCGCGGAGAATTGACGTTCCAAAACGACAGAACTCCACGCTGAGATATGACGATCCAAAACGACAGAACTCCGCGCGGAGATATGACGTTCCAAAACGACAGAACTCCGCGCGGAGATATGACCTTCCATTTTTTTCAAAATCGAGGTCGGTGCGAAAATCGAAACTTTTTCGATGATTTTTTTTTTAATATCTAGGGCAAATAAAGTCTGATTTTAAAATATTAAACCTTTTTGAATTTATTCAAACCCCTACTATCAATCGGCATTCCAACAAATTAAAAATCGATGGGTTACAAAAAGATGTTGACCCAAAAAAAAATTCGTTTGTAAAGTCAACCTTTTCTTATGATTTTATTGAATATCTCGGCCAAATAGAGTCCGATTTTAAAATTGTAGACCATTTTGGACTCGTAAGGATCAGTACTATCGACTGGCATCAAAAAGTAGAAAATCTAAATTTTGACCCAACTCGACCAAAACGGCAAGGGGTTACATCACGTATTTTATCAAAATCGGGGTCGGTTCGAAAAATAACCTTTTCTGATGTTTTTTTTGAATATCTCGGGCAAATAAAGTCTGATTTTCAAATATTATACCTTTTTGAATTTGTACGAATCCCTACTATCAATTGGCATTCCAACAAATTAAAAATCGATGGGTTACAAAAAGATGTGGACCCAAAAATCGCCGTTGATCATGGCGAGATTATGTCGTTTCAAAACGTCATATCTCCAGCAAATTAAAAATCGATGGGTTACAATTCGTTTGTAAAGTCAACCTTTCCTTATGATTTTATTGAATATCTCGGCCAAATAGTGTCCGATTTTAAAATTTTAGACTATTTTGGATTCGTAAGGATCAGTACTATCGACTGGCATCAAAAAATAGAAAATCTAAATTTTGACCCAAATCGACCAAAATGGCAAGGGGTTACATCACTTTTTTATTAAAATAGGGGTCGGTTCGAAAATAAACCCTTTTTTGATGATTTTTTTTTAATATGTCGGGCAAATAAAGTCTGATTTTCAAATATTATACCTTTTTGAATTTGTACGAATCCCTACTATCAATTGGCATTCCAACAAATTAAAAATCGATGGGTTACAAAAAGATGTGGACCCAAAAATCGCCGTTGATCATAGCGAGATTATGTCGTTTCAAAACGTCATATCTCCAGCAAACTAAAAATCGATGGGTTACAATTCAAAAAAAAATTTTTTGACGTTCTAAAACGACAGAACTCCGCGCGGAGATATGACGTTCCAAAACGACAGAATTCCGCGCGGAGACATGACGTTCCAAAACGACAGAACTCCGCGCGGAGATATGACGTTCCAAAACGACAGAACTCCGCGCGGAGAATTGACGTTCCAAAACGACAGAACTGCGCATGGAGATATGACGTTCCAAAACGACAGAACTCCGCGCGGAGATATGACGTTCCAAAACGACAGAGCTCCGCGCGGAGATATGACGTTCCAAAACGGCAGAACTCCGCGCGGAGATATGACGTTCCAAAACGGCAGAACTACGAGCGGAGATATGACGTTCCAAAACGACAGAACTCCGCGCGGAGAATTGACGTTCCAAAACGACAGAACTGCGCATGGAGATATGACGTTCCAAAACGACAGAACTCCGCGCGGAGATATGACGTTCCAAAACGACAGAGCTCCGCGCGGAGATATGACGTTCCAAAACGGCAGAACTCCGCGCGGAGATATGACGTTCCAAAACGGCAGAACTCCGCGCGGAGATATGACGTTCCAAGACGACAGAACCCCGCGCGGAGAATTGACGTTCCAAAACGACAGAACTGCGCACGGAGATATGACGTTCCAAAACGACAGAACTCCGCGCGGAGATATGACGTTCCAAAACGACAGAGCTCCGCGCGGAGATATGACGTTCCAAAACGGCAGAACTCCGCGCGGAGATATAACGTTCCAAAACGGCAGAACTCCGAGCGGAGATATGACGTTCCAAAACGACAGAACTCCGCGCGGAGAATTGACGTTCCAAAACGACAGAACTCCGCGCGGAGATATGACGTTCAAAAACGACAGAACTCCGCGCGGAGATATGACGTTCCAAAACGACAGAACTCCGCGCGGAGAATTGACGTTCCAAAACGGCAGAACTCCGCGCGGAGATATGACGTTCCAAAACGACAAAACTCCGCGCGGAGAATTGACGTTCCAAAACGGCAGAACTCCGCGCAGAGATATGACGTTCCAAAACGGCAGAACTCCGCACGGAGATATGACGTTCCAAAACGACAGAACTCCACGCGGAGAATTGACGTTCCAAAACGGCTGAACTCCGCGCGGAGATATGACGTTCCAAAACGACAGAACTCCGCGCGGAGAATTGACGTTCCAAAACGACAGAACTGCGCACGGAGATATGACGTTCCAAAACGACAGAACTCCGCGCGGAGATATGACGTTCCAAAACGACAGAGCTCCGCGCGGAGATATGACGTTCCAAAACGGCAGAACTCCGCGCGGAGATATGACGTTCCAAAACGGCAGAACTCCGAGCGGAGATATGACGTTCCAAAACGACAGAACTCCGCGCGGCTAATTGACGTTCCAAAACGACAGAACTCCGCGCGGAGATATGACGTTCAAAAACGACAGAACTCCGCGCGGAGATATGACGTTCCAAAACAACAGAACTCCGCGCGGAGATATGACGTTCCAAAACGACAGAGCTCCACGCGGAGAATTGACGTTCCAAAACGACAGAACTCCCCGCGGAGAATTAACGTTCCAAAACGACAGTACTCCGCGCTAAGATATGACGATCCAAAACGACAGAACTCCGCGCGGAGATATGACGTTCCCAAACGACAGAACTCCCCGCGGAGATATGACGTTCCAAAGCGACAGAACTCCCCGCGGAGTTATGACTTTCCAAAACGACAGAACTCCGCGCGGAGATATGACGTTACAAAACGACAGAACTCCGCGCGGAGAATTGACGTTCCAAAACGGCAGAACTCCGCGCGGAGATATGACGTTCCAAAACGACAGAACTCCGCGCGGAGATATGACGTTCCAAAACGACAGAGCTCCACGCGGAGATATGACGTTCCAAAACGACAGAACTCCGCGCGGAGATATGACGTTCCAAAACGACAGAACTCCGCGCGGAGATATGACGTTCCGAAACGACAGAGGTCCACGCGGAGATATGACGTTCCAAAAAGACAGAACTCCGCGCGGAGATATGACGTTCCAAAACGACAGAACTCCGCGCGGAGATATGACGTTCCAAAACGACAGAGCTCCACGCGGAGATATGACGTTCCAAAACGACAGAACTCCGCGCGGAGATATGACGTTCCAAAACGACAGAACTCCGCGCGGAGATATGACGTTCCAAAACGACAGAGCTCCACGCGGAGATATGACGTTCCAAAACGACAGAACTCCGCGCGGAGATATGACGTTCCAAAACGACAGAACTCCGCGCGGAGATATGACGTTCCAAAACGACAGAGCTCCACGCGGAGATATGACGTTCCAAAACGACAGAACTCCGCGCGGAGATATGACGTTCCAAAACGACAGAACTCC